GAGATTGACACCCAAACACTCTGAGACGTTCGTATTAGAGCTTCCGGCCGGAATGGTAAGCAGTAAATCATGCCGTTTCCAAATTTCTGTTGGAATGAATTGTGTCATGGTGCTTTTTTTTTCCATCCCAGATGGTGCCTAACTGACCCTACAATATTGTGCACTCGACAAAATAAAAAAACGCGCATGCGCGAAATTCAAAATATGATATGGTGACAATTTACTCATCGCATCCTGTATACCTATATATAAATCCCTCACTTTGGGACAATGGGTAGCAAGGTTTCCCTGACGGAATAGGGGAAACAGGTTTGATTCAAGGATGCAGTTTTTAGTAAGACTTTTGAATGTAGTCCGTTTGTTATTCCTTTTACAGGATAGTAGCTCAAATACGTGTGCTCGCAAAAAATAACATTTATTCTACTCAGGTCAATTTTGAATTTACCATCTTGAATTTAGAATCTAAATAACTGAGTGATTCAATGAGACTTTAACTCATTTACAATTGGTGGTGTACTTTCCGAACATCCTTAATACGTTTAATGAGAATTCTTCATGTATTTATTTATTCAATTACTGAAATTGTTTTTATCATGTGGTAAACATCTGCTGCTTACTAAGTTCAGTCTTGGAGACGTTCGATTTCCTATAACGAATCTTGCTCAACAATATTTTTCCAATCTCAATAAATTTAATTCGTCAAATAATCATAATCAAATCAATCATATTCACACAGAGAGTTTTCCATAATTACCAAAGACTTTTAGCTTAAAAGTTTGAGTTTGACCAATATTTACCGTATAGCTTGACCCCTAAACATGCAGTAGGCTAAATTGGCCCCGAAACTAAAGTAAATAAAATTAGGTGATAACCTGTGCCAAAATTACATAATGTTTGATTTGGTGAATGTTATACTTAGTGTATCAGCTGTTGGACGTGATATGCCCTGTAGCGTTAATATAAAACTGAGGTAGTGCTACTATTTTATCGTTTTACTAGCAGCATGGCCCGTCGTTGCCCGCGCTTGATTCAAAAATCGTACGAATCATACAGCAATCGCTATCAATTGACTTAAAATATTTTTGCCCTTCTTTGCCTTTAAAGGAGTGCCCTTTGCCGTGCTGGTGTTGCTACATGCCTTACTTCTTGTCTATATCACACTGCGATTTTTTTTCTTAGCTCTATACTAAACATTAAATCTGTTACGAAAAAAAGAACTAAACAAAATGAACACAAAACGATCAGCTTTAAAAAAGGACTCGTAACTGGAAAAATCGAATGAAAAAAGAATGTTAACAACAAATACTTTTTCACATCCAACCCAGTTCTGCGTAATCAGAATCAACGTTGAGTTTAAGCAAGTGAATGAGCCAATTGGAGTAAAGTGCCATGCAGATTTAAATTTTTCCCACTTGTAACGAATGCAGCAATCGATTTATTTTGCATGCTAGCATGCTAGTTAACATTCTTGTCAGTCAGCTGTTGGCTCTCACGCTGGTCAATAGAATCTTCCTGCCTAATCATGGTCTGCGCGACTACCTTACTGATCACTTATTCTTCCTATAACCGTTCGTTTACCAAGAGGCTTCGAGCTATATACCTGTGTTGAATTATTACGCCAAATGTTGCTGCGTTATAGTGGAAGACTCCTGCAAGCTATACAATGGCGGTTAAATCTCTGGTTACTGTTGACATGAAAAGTGTTCTTTCATCTGTTTAAGACCAAAGGTAGGCTTTTGTCTTAGAGTTTTTTTTATAACCATGCAATGAACTCCAATTACTGCTTAATCTCAGTACCTTTACAGCGGTTACTGGATATTTTAAACTATTCTCCATCCATTACAATATACAAGAGCAACTCAATGTAAACGATCACTAAACGATATATTTTTATTGGCGTAGGAAGATGTAAGATGTGCAGATTATGAGAATATGTACCGTATATATTTGCGTAACTCCCGTGTATCGTTCAAACCCGAAATTTTCAATTATAAAAAAATGATTTTATCATGTATCTCGTGTATTAAGTTAGTTCCTTTTATGAGAGATCAAATTACAATAGACTAGCCTCTTTTCCCTTATCTCTTTATCATATCTTCTAGTTAAATAGGTTAAAAAAGTAAAAGAGAATGATAAAAATATCGTTACTAAAGCTATAGTCGTTGCTTAAACGAGTACAGCCATAAACAACCGAACGAGAAACACCTAAACATCTTATAAACGTAAACAATAGAAAAGATGCGTATTCGCTATGTTTGTATTTATGTTTATTTTAAATACATCTGTATCTTTAGACTACAATAATGGTAATTGTATAGTTTAGTCAACGGTGTATCCATGGCCGGCAGTACATGCGCTAATTTTATATCTCATTTATGATGCGATCTCCTTAAAATTAGCTTCAAAATTAGGTCTTCAAATGTCTCACGATACTCGAGAATATATGTTCGGATAAATAACTGTTGATCCTAGATTTAAAGAGGTTTAAATGGTATTAGTTGGGGAAACATCTTTTTGCCAGCCTGTTCCAAAAATGACAGTTCTCGGGAAGAAACTGACCGCGTGGAAGTTCCTTCTTACCAATGTTATACAAAGAGAATGTACGTGACATGGCGGACGTTAGTTGTAAAAGTCTGAACTGGTCGAAATAAGTAATGTAGCTCTTCTGAACATTTTGCAAGGAAATAGCAATAATGATTGGTTTGCGAAAGAGGTTGTAGGGTGTACAATAAACAATCACTTACAAGGCCGCGCAGACGCCTTGGAAATCTGGAAACTGGTTAACCGAGGCGGGGAATCGATTGTAAATTGTAACGGCTCCAAAACAAAACTGCTTTCATTTAACCAACAGAGAGAACCTTTTCTGGCCACCATCAGCATGGCTGATACCAGACTCCAGAAGAGCAACACACTGTGCTTTCTTGGACTCACGTTTTCCACTGACATGAAGTGGGGCAACTATATCGAATCAATTGCTACGTCTTCTGTAAGAAAATTTGGCACACTGTGCCGTGCCAGAAGATTTTTCTCTTTAATCTTGCACATTTACAAATCTATAATTCGTCTGTGCATTGAATACTGTTGTTGCCACATCTAATTTGGTGCACTTACAATACATGTTGAGATTTTTTACTAAATCCAAAGAAGGATCCGTAATGTAATCAATCCTGACTTGGCATCTCGACTTCAGTCTCTTTCTCAACGACGTGACGTGGCTTCCCTCTGTCTTTTCTACAAATATTTTCAAAGCAACTGCTCTGACGAGCTTTTTTGTTCACTGGTGACTCAACTACATGAATTTGAACGTGCCATTAGATTGGCATCTTGGTCACACCCTTTTTACTGTTGAAATAGTTTAATGCAATCGCCACTTCTACTCTCTTTCTAGTTTCTTCTCTCGCACTTCCCACCTGTGGAACTCTATTCCGTTTCTTTCCTCCCCTGATAACAACAATCTTCAAAATTTTAAATGTAAAGTCAATCGCCCTCTTCTGTCATCTTGAATCCTATTCTCCCTATTCTCATTTTTTTTTAAGGAGTACAAGAAGCCTACCATTTTGTCAGCGTTTTTAGTAATAGATAATCCATATGATAATCTATATGATGTCTACTTGAGGTCTGGGATGAACCAAGCAGACATTCAAACCAAGAGAGAGCTTTTAGAGGTGTGACCAATACTCGTAAGGGGAGAGAATCCAATGTACGCTTGCCGATAATGAGACGTCACTAGCTAAAAAACTAGGTGATTTTAATCATTTCAACTCAAGTAAGGTAATATAGCAATTAGGACGCAAGGGGTTACTGTGCGTTAGATAATATGAGAGCAAATATACTATTAAGAAAAGAGGACGGCCAAATAACAAAAGTTAAGAAGACAGAAGATAACGATTGACATTGCATTTAAATTTTTGCAGATTAAAGTTGAGTGGAAAGCATGGTGCCGTAAGAAGTTCCACAGGGAAGAAGTGCGATAAAAGAAACTGGTAGCATAGAAATTACGCTTACATCTAGTCATTTCAACCATAAAAGGATGAGACCTTGCCGCCAATCTAGTACTGCGCTTAGAACAATTACCATGAATGTATTTGTAGAAATGTCACAAGGAATCTATGTTATTTCGATGGAAAAGAGCCTGAAACTGAAATTCCTGTTTTGGATCAATGACATTGCAGATTCTTCTTTGGATTTTATCAAAAATCCCTAAATATTTAGCAGGTGAAACAGACTAGATGTGACAGCAAGATTCAAAGCAAGGACGAACTGTAGACTTATAAATATGCATGACGGATTCTGTCCAGTAAAATTTTCTATCACGACACAGGGAAGCAACATTCCTAGCAGCAGATGTGTCAATTGATTCACTATAATCTTTTTCACTTCATGTCAGCGGTAAACGTTAGTCCGCGAGTGCGCAATGAGTCACTCTCCTGGAGCTCAGCATCAGCCATGCTCATGGAACGTATAAAGGTTCCTCTATTAAAGACGATTAAAGAAATCAATTTCCTTTGAGAGACGTCATAATTAACAAGAAACTCCAAGCCCCCCCCCTTTTTTTTCCGGTTGGGCCATTCGAATTAATTTGTTCCCTTCTTGTTTTTACTGTCATTATGATCCCCATTTCAATCCCTTATTTGTTTCATCTTCTTAGTTTCTTAGGCAACAAATTATTCTCAGATTGTACTTTTTTTGTCTATGTGCGATGCATATCAGATGATGCACTTCTTGCAATGCTGATGCAGCTTGTTTTCTTATATCATTCCATTTTTGTCAGGATATAATCTGTCAAACTGTTGTAACCTAGAAAGGGTTACTGAATGAGGAATAACCAAAACGGAGGTTGGAAATGGAAATGATAATCGTTATAACGTCAACAAAATACAATACTCGCCAGCGGCGTGAAGTAGGTAAACCACTGCTAGTGATGGACTACTTAGACACCATATTCTCGCCACCTACAATAGTGTACAACGTATTTATGAGGATTCGGGCATAACCATTACTGTTCATAGGTATGAGATAGATAGATAGATAGATAGATAGATAGATAGATAGATAGATAGATAGATAGATGTTTAACCTAGAAAGGGTACTGAATGAGAAATAACCAAAAGGAAGGTTGGAAATGAAATGGTAATCTTTATAACATCAACATAATACTCGCCAGCAGTGTTAAGTAGGTAAACCACTGCTACTAGTGGACAACTTAGACAGCATATTACTTCCACTTACAGTAGGGTCCAACGTATTTAGGAAAATTCGTACATAACCATTCGTGTTCATTATTACGGAATAGATAGATAGATAGATAGATAGATAGATAGATAGATATTGTTGTAACATAGAAATGGTTACTGAATGGGGAATAACCAAAAAAGGAGGTTGGAAATCAAATGATAATTGTTATAACATCAACAAAATACAATACTCGCCAGCGGCGTCGAGTAGGTAAACCACTGCTTGTGGTGGTCTACTTAACATATTGACCCCACTTGCAATAATGTCCAACGTATTTATAAGGACTCCGGCATAAACATTAGTCTTCATAGGTACAAGAAAGATAGATAGATAGATAGATAGATAGATAGATAGATAGATAGATAGATGGCGTTGTAATCTAGAAAGGGTTACTGAATGAGGAATAACCAAAAAAGGAGGTTGGAAATGAAATGGTAATCATTATAACATCAACAAAACACAAAACTCGCCAGCGGCGTGAAGTAGGTAAACCACTGCTAGTGGTGGACTACTTATACAGCATATTACCCCCAATAATGTCCAACATATTTTTGAGGATTGAGACATAATCATTAGTGTTCGTAGGTAGGTATATAACACAAACCTATATTGATGGGAAAACCCATGGTTTCCTAGAGGCCCAAAATCTGAGCTGAGTATTCAATAATAATAGCCAATGAACCTGGGCTTGTTAACCATTTCCTCTCAGAGAGAATCTATTACCAAGAAACTGTCTATACAATATTTATGGGTTTATTTCTGGTAACACTTACACGGCCTCACTTGCTAGATTAAAGATAGGTATGTAAGGATTTATTCCATCGGAACCACTTAATTTTCCTGTGTTGTATTCCTTCAAGGCGTGGGAGATCGTGTCTCTTCGTAATTTTCTATCTTTTGAAGGTTTTATTAATGTTTGTATGTGCGCCATCATTCCGACTCCCTGTTCTAACATTTATTTACATAAGCTTAAACCAATGATAAATAAAAAGATATCTTAATACTACGAACCATTTGAAAAGTAGAAAAAAACGCAAAGTTATTGGTTAAATTTCTGAAAACACGATCCCCACAGAGGTTAGACGTCTCATCCTTCTTCTCTCATAACAATTCATTTTCATTCTCTCTTTACGTTTTACATACATATTTTTTTTCAACCCTAAGCACTTATAACAAAGGTTTGAATTTCAATTCTCATGACTACTTTCTGAGCCAACCGAATGCAAAAGGCTGGCACGGCCCACTCAGACCAGCAACGGACCCACTAAAACCGGTGTCCCTGAGGAACCAACCCAGACGGAGGACTTGGGATTTGGCCAGCAGTGTTTTGGCACGGGTAACTACCATGGCTTATTCTGCCTTCAAGAAATACACACAAAATCAACCACACACAAAGACAAACGCATATGTGAATGTACAAAAGTAGACACAAGAAGACCAAAAAAATTCTGAATCTAAATATATATATATAGCGATTTAATAAGAAGTTGCACAAGGCCAAAAATAAGGGGCACCCATGAGGATCGAACTCACTAATCAGTCGTAATTGATCTAACGAGACAAACTTTCTAACCATTATGCTACGTCGAAGCGCGTATGCTGATATGCTTATATACCTGAAGGATATGTACACACATCCTGTGCCAGAACTTTTATTCCCATGACTTTATTAATGTTTCATTCCTTTTGGTTGAGTAGTTTCTAAGTAGTAGGGAGGGCTGAAAAGTTCATAGGCTGACTATGATGGAGAGATGCTACAACTGTGAAATCTTGCATGCTTAATTTCAACTCTTTTTTTTTTCCAATATTTGCATTGTTTGTTTCCAATTACGAGGGCAGGCTGAAAAATTCATATGCTTATTATGATGTAATAATGCTACAGCTGTGAAATCGTGCATGCATTAATTTCAACTCTTGTTTTTAATAACTGGAATTTTTCTCAGGCATGAGGGTGGCTGAAATATCACAGGCTTACTATAAAGAAATGATGCTACAGCTGGGAAATCTTGCATGCATTAATTACGTCTCTTCTTATTAATAACTGCGGTGTTTCTTTCCAGGTGAACTGACATCTGACTGTTCAAAAAAAAAAGTTATCAATACGATACTGGTTCCCAGCCAAGTGTTTTTCTCATGTTGGGGAACAGATGATAATCCAATCAGGATAATATGGAGTGTGATCAAACAGTTCAAAACCGCAGTTACACTTAGCGGCATTTGAAATCAGTTGTGGTGAAGCATTGTCCTGATGAAACAAGACCCCTTTCGTCAGCTTTCCTGGGTATTTGGTCTTGATAGCCTTTTGTAACTACCTCATAATGTGAGTAATGGACTCCCCATTCATGTTGTGTACCTTTTGAAGAGAGTCAATAATCACAATGCCTTTTGAATCCCGACCTCAAAAAAAGGGTTGCCATCACCTTCCCTACAGATGAAACTGCGTTAGCCTTCTTTAGAGCAGGCAAGAAGAGGTGATACCACTGCATGGATTGTCACTTTGTCTCTAGCTGAAAGCGATGAACAAAAACGTTCAAGGAATCCAACTGGTTCTACCTCAAACCCTGTCAAATATTCCCGTGATGTTATTGTTGTTGATTCCGAGATGAAATCCGGTCTCAAATGAATGACAAACGCAGGAATTAAATATAGCAGATAAATGAATTGACGTAGTAATACAATTGGTAATACGTTTAGTAGATCCAGAAATGCGGTTAGTAGCAATAATAATAATAATAATAATAATAATAATAATAATAATATATATATATATATATATATATATATATATACAGTCTGGGAAATTCAGTATCGAAGTATGACTTACTTCTGAGTCTACGTGCTCGCAACTGTGACGCCTACAAAGCGGTTACCTCACATTCTTACTCTCTCACTCTCTCACTGTATCAGTGTATCTCCCTTACTCTCTCAGGTATTCACCGGCAGCAGTAAAAGTACACACTGGGTGAGTCCACTTGTATGAAAAAGGGGTGGGCTCTTTACCAGTTATCTACCTGGGATGCTTTTAATCAGATGTCAGAAGATGTGCCACCCGCCGACAGAAAACTTCGTTGTGCTAAGTTCATTGTGTAGAATATTCTCAATTTTTTCACGCCCTTACAACAAACACACACATATACACCGATAACACACACACACACACACACACACACACACACACACACACACACATATATATATATATATATATATATATATATATATATATATGTGTGTGTGTGTGTGAAAAGTGTATATAAATATAAATAAATATATATATGTATAATTATTTATATATTATATGCGCGGTACTTATTAGAAAGCGCTCAATATCAGAGATAGAGCTAACATATGGTTGGATAGATGTGAGATTTTAGGTTTCACCTAAACGGATCGACAAGGAAAGCCGGCTAAAGAGGCAAAGAGAAACGCATAATTATAGGCGATAATCAAAATATACCACGAGACGCGATACTCAAAATATACCACGTGACCCAAGAAAAACACCGGGTGGGGGGGTTAAAGATTTATTCAACAACTAAAAAACATATAATGGAAAAAGACAACTAGCTTTTGTCGACGAGTTTCGTCCAATATAGAATTTTCAAGTAAAAAAAAAACGATCTCTAAACAATCTTTTTTAGTCTCCATTCTCCGATATGGATTTAAAATGTGGACACTGTTGGCAGAAACAGAGAGAATGATCCAAGCGATTGAAAAAAAATGTATGAGAAAACTCCTTGACATTTTCTATTAAGAACATTAAAACCAATGAATTTGTGCGGAAAAGGGTTGAAAGATTTGGGGGTGACACATTACAAGGCAGGGCAGCCTGTGCAAGACCATAATGTGTGGCACTGTTGAAAGCGGACTTAGGAGAGGACGCCAGCGCAAAAACTGGTTGGATAATGTTAAAAAATGAACAGGTATGATTGTAGCAGAATTGCTGCTTCTACTCTGTGACAACCTAAGTGTCTACATTTTTTAATCAAGTTAATTCAAAAAACGCGATAATGTCACTACGATGCAAGCGACTAATAAGGGTGAAAGAGAACAAAAATACTTTAAAAAGAAATGGAACACCAGTCCTAAACATGAAATAAGTGGTGAACCTCTACTGCAATTCAAATGATCAGGTACGAGTGTGAATCTAAGAACACACACATATATATATATATATATATATATAAGTAAATTATTTTTCAAGTTGGTTACTGAACACTTCTCAAACAATTCAGAGTTACATAAGATATTCAATAAAAATACAGTTAAATTAAGCTACAGTTTACACTATTAATTTCGATACAATAAAAAATAGATAAAATATCAAAACTAACGTACAGCAAAATAACACTAATATTTTATGCAATCGCAGAAATAATTTTAGGTGCCCATTAAATGGAGCTTGTAAAAAAGAAGTCATCATTTATAAAGCAGAAGTGATAGATATTAATGGTCAAAATAAAACATATATATGTTGTACAGAAGCTTCTTTTAAGCGTAGATGGTATAATCATAGATATTCGTTTAAACTAGCAAATCTTAGATACTCCACCAAACTTGCTAGTCATATGTGGGATTTGAAGGAAAAAAAAACACGAGGGACCCGTTCCTAAGGTGGAAAATTTTAAGAAAGGTAAAAAAAAACATACAGCAATCATACATGCATTTGCAACGTATGTTAACATGAGAAATTGCTGTCCGGTTCTTTTCTCTTATTCTCTTCACCCTTGTTCTTTTTTTTCTTTCTTCTTCCTTCTCCATGGCCATTCCTTTCTATTATACTCAACGTTAAGCGTCTGACCGTCGTGCGTTATGCGTTGTTTATTTATTTTTGAAAAATAATAATGTAGCATTCTTTGTGGTTTTTTTTTTTTTTTTTTTAATAAAGCGTTTGGGTGGTCAGTTGATAAAAATCGCCTGATAAAGCCGTGAGGTCGAAACCGAGGTCACAGATTCAACAAAACTCCTAATTTTTAAAGTTATATATATATATATATATATATATATATATAAAGTTGCAAATTAAAAAAATAATAATGTACTTTTATGAAAGTATTTATTTTTTGTGTATATATATTTGATATTTCAGATTGGCCTCAATCTTTCTTCAGAAATATTTAGGTAATAAATGTTTTAACTGTATCTAAAAAGATATTTTTTAGATAGAGTTAAAACATTTTTTTATTTCTTATTTTATTTATTTTATTTTTTTTATTTTTTTAAATAACATCTAATATATTATTACAGTTAGCTTTACGTTAGGAATATTCGTTCCATATCACGTGACGTCCGCATCTCGCGACGGACGATACTTGTCCAGCTTTTTCTATATATACATATTAAGAAAGTATACGTGGCTTCTCATTATGCTATATATATATATATATATATATATATATATGGATATGTGGATATATATTAAGTATCCCCATATCCGTGTATTTATCCCGGAGATATCTGAATTCAAACCGTAAAATCATTTGAATTCTGCACCTGAGGATCACGTTGTGCATCAGAGTCGTGCTAGTGGTGTGAGATAGTATCTATTTTTATTAATATATATATATATATATATATATATATATATATATATATATATATATATGTGTGTGTGTGTGTGTGTGTGTGTGTGTGTGTGTGTGTGTGTGTGTGTTAAGCCGATGAAAGAAATTTGAGAGATAAAGTTATTAACAACAACAACAATAATAATAATAATAATAAAAAGACAGCAAAGACGAATGCAACCGACCAGATACAGAAGCGATGGCAAGATAAACCGCTTCATGGCCAATACTCTGCCCGTACCAAACAAGCTGACGTAGACAAAACCCGTACCCATCAGTGGTTACGTAGTGCAGGGCTGAAAGCTGAAACTGATAGTTTCATCCTTGCTGCACAGGATCAATGCTTGCTAACTAGGAATTATCAAGCATATCTACTAAAATATTGTGTCAGCCCAAAATGCAGATTCTGTGATAAATATCCAGAAACGATTGATCATCTTGTATCAGGTTGCACGACATTGGCACCCACTGAATATAAAACACGGCATGACAGAGTGGGCCAATATCTGCACTGGAAAATTTGCAACTTCTGTGGGAGGGAAACTGAAAGAAACTGGTATGAACACCACCCATACCCGGTTACGGAGATAGGACCTGTTACAATTCTATGAGACTACACAATACACACTAACAGAACAATCAAATCCAACCGCCCAGACATTGTTATTAAAGACCACAAACAAAAAAGTGCCTCCTAATTGATATGGCAGTCACTGTTGACTGCAATGTATCTTTGAAGATATTCAAAAAGCTGTCAAAATGCAAGGACCTTGAAATAGAAATCTCAAAAATGTGGCACATGGGAACATCAACAATCCCTGTTGTAGTTGGAGCCCTAGGACTGGTTGGAAAAGATTGCAGTAGACTAATTGAAGGGATTCCTGGAAGTCCATGCCTTAAAGAGATACAAAAAATTGTTCTGACAAGTACACCCCACACTAAACGAAGGGCTTTATCTATGTAATTCTTTTTTTTTTAATTTGTCAGTGGAATGTGGCATGATGCCATTTCAAAACTTAGGTCCCTGGGCGGGACCCGGAAAGAAATGTGTAAACGCCAGAAATCAAAGGAAATAAAAATAATTATAATAATAATATTTATCGTTTACAACTAGCCCCTTAAACAAAATAGAATCATGATGTGAGCATATGTTAAAAATCGGAATTTTCAGACATGCTCGTATCCTTTCGCAACGGCCTCTTAATTTTGCTGTTATTCTCAGGTCCACGCTGAACAAAGAGGGTAGCACCTGTTATGTTCCCACCTATGGGCAAACAGTGAATCCCCAAACTGGTATTCAAAATATGAAAATACATTAGAGAAAATTACCAGCAATACTTTATTAAAAAAAATTACCAGTAATACTTCATTGAAAAAAAAATTACCAGCAATACATTTTTCGAAAAGAAAGAAAAAAATAGCAAAGCTTACAAGAAAATAACATTTCGGCATTAAATGACCCATAAGGTGTTGATATGCCGTTAAATAAACAAACTAAACTAAACCTTTCTCAACAAATAAAATGAAGTGGGAGATTTTTTTTTTTTTGTATATTACTTATAATATCTAGTAGTGTATTGCTACTGTTAGTTAATATTAATATTTAGTAATTTATAAAGTAATTTCCCAAATACACAAGTCACGATACAGTTGTCGATCACGTCATTCTCTGAAAGAAATGGCAGCTTTCTAGAACTTTGACGCGGAAAAATATTTAATGAAATAACTTTAAAATTCTCAACAAAAAAATTCTCTAAGTTTCATAAAAGAAAGTTAAAAATTATAAAAACCAAAATGCGTTAGACCATTTTTTATTTCAAAATACTTTTAAAAAAATAAAATAAAATATACTTTTAAAATTTCAAAAAACATTTTTTTTTAATTCAAATAAGAAATTCTCAAATATAATAGAAAAAAAGAATACTAAAATACATTATCACGAAAACATTGCAAACCTCAATATTAAAAGAGTCGAAGACAGACATCCGCGATATTTTAATTTATTGAAGTCGGAAGGCGTGAAGAACCGAACCGGAAATGAAAGACAACTAAAATGAACAGGGTTTTAAGGGAATAAGAAAAAAAAATGAAAAGGAAGGTTGGAATAAGATTTTGCTAAGTGAAATAGAAAAGGAAGATTGAAACTAAGATGGAAGAATAAATGATATTGAAAATAAGAAGGTCAGCAGTTACATTGAGATTAGGAGAAGAAAAAAACTAGAGAAAGAAGAATGTTAAATAAGAAATCGATTTGGAGATATATTTGTATCTACAGGTTAGTCAGAATGTCTTGTCACCTCCTGCTAAAAAAGTAACGAAAACATTACAAGAACAAGTAATACAGCAATACAAATCACATGTACTGGATTCAGTTTATTCACTTTCATTGACGCTATCACACATCGAGAAGTTCTGTATGAACATCATCATTTTTGTGGCACAAAATGATGTGGCGCCATGTCCTGTGTGATATTTTTTACGAAACTGTGCTTTGTTGATTCATACAAAGACTCTCAAAATGACGTCATTCAACTAAAAAGTTATTCTGGTATCGTTTGTGTGAAACTCTCTCCTCCTGGATAATACCTTACAGAACGTTGAAATAGAAAATGATATTATTTAGGGGTGACTAAATTTTCGGACCACCCTGTACAATGACAGACGATCGTCTTGAGAGAAATGAACAGAGTAAGATAAATATAATTAGTCCAGTATTAACTGATAAGTGTTAAGCGACCGAGATAAAGAGATATCAACTTTATGCGAGTGTGTGTAGATAGATAGATAGATAGATAGATAGATAGATAGATAGATAGATAGATATGAAAAAATGAGATACATACAAAGCAAGCTACCTAGATAGATCGATAGATAGATACGAAAAGAATATAGGAATATATACTGAGATAGATAGATAGATAGATAGATATGAACTGAGAAATTAGTAATATAGTGAAACAGATAGATAGATATGAATAGAATGAGATAGATAGCTATATAAATAGATATAAATCAGACATATATATATATATATATATATATATATATAGATAGATAGATAGATAGATAGATATGAACATAATGAGATAGCTATATAAATAGAGAGATGTAAATCAGACATAGATAGATAGATAAATACATACATACATACATACATATATACATACGAACTGAGAATATAGAAATATACTGAGATAGATAGATAGATAGATAGATAGATAGATAGATAGATAGATAGATAGATAGATATGAACATAATGAGATAGCTATATAAATAGAGAGATGTAAATCAGACATAGATAGATAAATACATACATACATACATACATATATACATACGAACTGAGAATATAGAAATATACTCAGATAGATAGATAGATAGATAGATAGATAGATAGATAGATAGATAGATAGATTGGTCTCAATACGCAATTAAAAAGCTAAGTAGCGAGAAGGATTATAAATATGTTTTGGATTGTAAGTATAAGTATATATGTAATTTTTTTTTTGAATGAATATTGCATCAAAATTATTTTGCAGTAGCAATGATTTTTACAGATAGACGTCCTACTATTTGACCCATAGCTGGAGGGAGAAGAAGTGTATTCATACCTTTCCCAAGGATATATCCTCTTACGTGAACTGTAACGATCTCCACTGGAATTAGATCTCGGCACCTCCGATTTCCCATTCCGAGCCACCATCCATTACACCACCCTCACGTTCAAATAAACGTGGGTGGGGGTAGAGAGGGATCGAGAGCAAAAGGTAATTCGAAACAATATATCAGAACGAAATGAGGAATCGGTTGTCTTCGCCTCAAACCGGCTTGCACGAGTCATTTATCGATGTAAATAACCGCAATGTGAACACCAGCAAACACGGCGTCTCGAACAAGCCAGTAAATTAATAAACGATGGCAAACACAAACTTGACGAATCAATAAAGAGGAATTACGTATATACACTTTGTTATTTTAACAGGCTGGCATTCTAACACATAGCTACCGTATTTGATAGCATATAAGACGCATGGGTGTATAAGACGCACCCAATCTCAGCCGGGCAAATCAAGAAAAATTAGCAATTAGTATAATTAGTGAAATTATTAGTAAATGGTACAGCCGCGGCTATATTTATGAGGTATTATTTTAGTTAAATAAGTTATGTTTACAGTTAAACGAAAAATAATTGGAAAAAAAAGAACACGGGCCTATAAAAGCTTTATTATATCCAAAGGTAAGAAAACAAAATAAAAATCAAGCAATTATTACAATTGTGCAAAACTTTACATTAAAATTCAGTCAAATTTTTTTCTTTATATGATCTGTACAACCTGCGTCTTGTAAACGTTTTAATGGAATAATTTAATTTAATTTAATAAGTTTTAATGGAATAATTTTTCTTTATATGATCTGTACAACCTGCGTCTTGTAAACGTTTTAATGGAATAATTTAATTTAATTTAATAAGTTTTAATGGAATAATTTTTCTTTATATGATCTGTACAACCTGCGTCTTGTAAACGTTTTAATGGAATAATTTAATTTAATTTAATAAGTTTTAATGGAATAATTTTTCTTTATATGATCTGTACAACCTGCGTCTTGTAAACGTTTTAATGGAATAATTAGGACAAAAATTCTGATTGTATTTCTACCAATGCAACCGGAAGTTATCCCAAGAAAAAATATTAATGAAACAAATATATTTTACGAATATATAATTTGAATTTATTGCATATCATTTTAGTGAAACAAAGTACTAATATTAAACGTGATGAAATTAATATAATGGATATTATCAACGATAACAATTTTAATCTGCATTTTAAATCATTTCAATAGGTATATGAAAGTTACTCTAAAGTCTAAGCTAATAGGAGTTGTCAGGTAGATAATTTCGGCCGACTACCACGAATTTTAAACCAACATATGGCATATAAGACGCAGGGGGATTTTACAAGATATTTTTAGTAAAAAAAAGCGCGCCTTATATGCCGGCAAATACTGTAATCCTGTAATTCATGCATTGATTAATATATGTGTATATATTCGATTTTCTACAGATCCATTGAGAGAGACGAAGTTCAGGCGAGCAGCGTAGAACATAAAGAATAATCCGAACTTTGTGGTAAGACGCTGTGAAAGTTTTGGCAATGTCTTCGTAGACAGAAAACACTGCTGGTTACTCATAATGTCGGTGTTTTCCTTTTGTTGTCTTTTTTCTAGTTTATTTTGCCATTTTCTTGTACAGGATTTTTTGATTGATGATTGTTAATAAATATTTTCTTGGTTATTCGTTATTAATAAATTCTTTTTCACATGTCTTTTAGATACCTGCTAGGTTTTCTGTTCGTTGTACATGTAACGTTGAATTATATATATATATATATATATATATATATATATATATATATATATATATATATATATATATAGTTGTTACGAAAAACTTGGTAATCCGTATGGGTAGTCCCAAGGAGGATGAAATCCTGAGAGCTCAATGTAAATTCAGAGCTAATAATTTAAAGAAAAAACAGTCCACTTTAAGGTTCCATTTTAATAGTTTATTTCACCAGATCCCTTTTAAGAGATGCTGGATCATCACATAACTCTTCCAAAAGGTGAAACAAAAATGAAATGAAAATTTTCACTTTTGACGGGTAGTATTAAGTTTATGCAATTTAACAGAGAGGGTAGCGAAGAGTGGTGTGAGAGGGTTTATTTTAATATTTCTTTCTATCATAATTAGTATTGAAGAAGGAAGGACGAGAAATTGACCTATTTAATCGGTCAACTTAACGGAAGTGATACGTTGAAAGGGAAGGAGAGAAGATAAATATATATATATATATATATATATATATATATATATATATATATATATATATATATATATATGAAGCATATATGTTTCAT